GGGCCAGAGTTGCCCACCCCTGTACTAGTAGATTATTTTTCCTTCAACGCCATCCTGTCACGCTGAACAATATGAATGGATCATCCTCCTGCTGGGCTGTTGTATTCTGGCAGCAGCTGTTCAGAATGCCTGAATAGTGGCTGCAGCTGAATCGCTGCATCACTGTTTGTGCAAAAAATTTCGGACCGAATCCTGTGTCAAAAGAAAAGTCAATTGACAAATCAACTTTTGTTGAACCAAGGCATGCAAACTGGGCCATGCACTTGTCACTTTTCAGCCGAGTGTATGCGCAGCTTTAAGGCAGCTGAATTTATATGCAAATCTACACTTTTACATGATGTTCTACTGCACCAGAACAATGTGAATTGCTATGCACTGCAAAAATGCTGAACCCCCTCCCCTTTTTTTTTTTTTTTTTTTTTTTTTTTTTAGGTGCCTATTTTGAGTAGGCTGCCTTAGGCCTTGTTCACACCAAATTTAGACCAGATCTGCATGCGTTTCTGCACACGCAGTGCAGGGGGTTTTGCCGCGTTTTTTGTTGTTTTTTTTCCGTTTAGTTTAAAATGAGCTTCCAGGGCGTTTGCATGCATTTTTGATGTGCTTGCTTGCGTTCCAGAGCAGGTAAAATGGGGCTTGCTGCAGTTTTTTACATGCTCTGGAACTGAACGCTGCAGTGTGAACTAGAGCCCAAAATACCATTGGAATACATTGGACGCAGTTTTGATCCGGTCTGTAACTGCTCTGCTCTGCTCCTGGAACGCGCTTGGTGTGAACAACGCCTTAACATAGTTTTCTGCTGTGCCTTATAGTGAGACAATGTGGCAAGCCAAGCTAGACTTCTAAAGGGAATTTGAGTTTGCCTGTTTATTTTAAGTATTTACTGTATATCAAACCAGTTTAGTGAAAGGAAATGCTTACGGTAAGGCTCCATTCACACAGGGTGTTTGCACTTTCCGTGCGGCACGAAAGCACCAAATCGTAACATGCACGCAAATTCCACACATTTGTGGCTATTACTGTAGCCAGACTTTGTCGCTCGTACACCGCCCTAGTGTAAACAATGCACATTGTAATGCATTGTTTTTTATGTTTATAGCACGTTTCCGGGCATGTGTCAATGAAGACTCACTGCCATGACCTAATCTGGTTCCCGTCAGCTAATTAACTTTTTTTTATTTTGCCATTTATATACAGTGAAGAAAATATTTATTTGATCTCCTGCAGATTTTGTAAGTTTGCACACTTACACAGAAATGAAAGGTCTTGAATTTTTATCATAGGTGTATTTTAAATGATAGAGACAGAATATCAACCAAATATCCAGAAAAAATTACACATGATACAAATGTAATAAATTGAGTTGAAGTTCAGTGAGTAAAATATTTGATTCCCTACCGACCAACAATAATTCTGGCTCCTCCCACAGACTGGCTATGTGGTACACAGATTAGTCCTGTCAATTTAAGAAGGTGCTCCTAACAACAACTCGTTATGTATATAAAAGACACCAGTCCACAGAATCTCTTTCTTCCATTCAAACCTCACCACCATGGGCAAGACCAAAGAGATGTCAAAGGATGTTAGGGACAAGATTGTAGACCTGCACAAGGCTGGAATGGGCTACAAGACTATCGGCAAGAAGCTTGGTGAGAAGGAAACAACTGTTGGAGCGATGATTCGCAAATGGAAGGAATACAAAGTAACCATCAATCGCCCTCGGTCTGGAGCTCCACGCAAGATTTCACCTCATGGGGTAAGGATGATCATGAGAAAAGTGAGGGATCAGCCCAGAACTACACGGGAGGAGCTTGTGAATGATCTCAAGGCAGCTGGGACCACCATGGATTGAAATCCTATAGCGCCCGCAAGGTCCCCCTCAAGAAGGCACATGTACAGCCCCGTCTGAAGTTTGCCAATGAACATCTAAATGATTCAGAGAAGGATTGGGAGAAAGTACTGCAGTCAGATGAGACCAAAATTTAGCTCTTTGGCATTAACTCGACTTTTTGCTTTAGAGCCGTTTCTCTGCTGATGGAACAGGCCGACTTTGCCGCATTGACGGGCCAATGGACAAGGCCATGTATTGTAAAATCTTGGATGAGAACCTCCTTCCCTCAGCCAGAACACTGAAGATAGGTCGTGGATGGGTCTTTCAGCATGACAATGACCCAAAACATACTGCCAAGGAAGCAAGGCAGTGGTTCAAGAAGGACATTAAGATCATGGAGTGGCCTAGCCAGTGTCTAGACCTTATTCCTATAGAAAATGTATGGAGAGAGCTGAAACTTCGAGTTGCCGAGTGACAGCCAAGAAACCTTAAGGATTTAAAGAAGCTCTGTAAAGAAGAGTGGACCAAAATCCCTCCTGAGATGTGTGCACACCTGGTAACCAACTATAAGAAACGTCTTACCTCTGTGCTTGCCAACAAGGGTTTCTCCACCAAGTACTAAATCATTTTTAGCTCTGGGATCAAATACTTGTTTTGCTCACTGAACTGCAACTCAATTTATAACCTTTGTATCATGTGTTTTTTCTGGATTTTTGGTTGATATTCTGTCTCATTTAAAATACACCTATGATAAAAATGATGGACCTTTCATTTCTACGTAAGTGGGCAAACTTACAAAATCTGCAGGGGATCAAATTATTTACCACACTGTACATTGCTTTACATTTTCTTATGATATGCCACCTCCTACCCACTGATCTTTCCTTCTCCAGACCCGTGTGCAAATGTAATGTCAGTCTGTGTTGGAGCTTACACTGGGTGAATGACGTCTGTCCCTTTCATCAGTGTTTGGTATTGGCAGATGGCTGCTCAGACCTGGACGCTTTATTCTGGGAGTAGGGAAAGGTGGCCACATAAATTCCCGATACCCAGAAGTACCAGTTAATTCCAAGTCCTGACAAGAGAACCTGTCACCTTGCCTGAACTTGTCATGCGGCCATAGTCGGACGTCTTCATGCATAATAGTAAATCCATCTGACCAAGGATCACTTTCCTTCATATTAGAAGATGGCTGAGTAAGGATGGTAGTGATGTCACATCAGTTTAGAGGACAGTCGGATTACTCATTTATCACCTCGACTGATGAGCTGGACAGGGGCAGAAGTTTATCATGTGCCAAAATGTGGCTATGTTGTCTTTTGCATGCATTTCGCTTAATAAGTCTCAAGAGGGCAGCAGTCGGTTATATGATGGAGGACAAATTATGTATTCCAGCTGAAAAAGCAAAGTGATGGGAGGTGTCCACATAGCAGAATAATTTGTCGGAATTAGATTAATGATCTAGGCAAGCCCTCAATAGCACTGCAGGCACCTGCCTGGTAAAATATCCAATACATACTACATATAGGTAAATAGTGAGTTCCCCACTGTAGCACTTATCAGTTGTCAGAATCACTCCTCTGATCATGTTCTGAGACTCTGCATTAATTCCCCTGCAGTCTGTGCAATTTCCCCCTCCACCCACACACAATGAAAGCGCATGATCTCTTCCAAGTGTTGCTGTTTGTGACTAAGTGTGTTTTTTTTTTTTTGCTTTTTGTTTAGTTGATAAAGGTAAGCAGAAGACAAGCCCTCGAGGTTCCGGTACACAGACACAGGCTGCCCCAGTGGACCCACAAGCTCTCGAGTTAGCACGGTGCAAAGCAGTATGCGAAGAGCAGAAGGGAATCATACAACAACTGAAAAGTCTCCTCACCTGCGGCAACCAAAGGTTTGAGGCCCTAACAGTGGTCATCCAACATGTCATAAATGAGGTAAATTTTACTTGGTTTGTATACTACAAAAATATGTGGTGCTTAAATTTCTAAACTTTATGCCTAAAAGCATAGTCCACTTTTCTGTTATGGGGCAACCTACAGCATGGCCACACATTCTCTAGGCACAAACACATTGCGGGGTGCTTTTCCTCGCAGGCTCTGGTTTAGTTCTGAATTTGGCTCCTCCCACACAGCCGTTAATTTACTGAGCCTCTTACAGGAATCTGTGAATGGAGAGACTACAAGTCCCATCTGTCACTGCGGCAGAGGAACTTGTAGATCTCAATGGCGCACAAATGTAGAGATGTCACTCAACTTCAAGTCCATTAAATACTTTCGCCAGTCCCATAACTGAAAGGATGTACCTCCGTAAGGACCTGGGGGGTAAGGGGAGAGTCTGCAGCAGTCTGAGCATTGCGCCTGCAAGCTACTGACTACTGGGTGCAAGGATTTGCTGGTTCCAGTGAAAAAAAGAAAAATGGTAAATGCCCTTTTTTTTTCATATCAATGTGTGCATTTGTTTTTTTCTAGATTGTGTACTATGCCTTTTAAGCTTGGCAACCTAAAGAACTGAAAAAATATATATTGTGGCAAATGGGTATAAAGAATACCGTAACGTGTATTTAAAGCCATTGATAACATTGTTGCCAGTACTGAAAGTGGGATCAAAATAAAAAAAATGTAAGTTAGTACTGGATCACAAAGAGGGGAACTCTTACAGTTGTCATTAGAATCATTTTCTCCATTTGGAAGATTTGAACACTAATGTGCCATGTTCAAATATCTTAAATTAATACAGTGTACAACAATATGCATCCCAATTCATGGTGATAAATATAGAATTCATAATCATACTAAAAATATATATACTGTATATAGTGCAGAAACTCCCACTAATAAATATTAAAAGTGCTCCATATATAAAGCACTAATTTTAGTCCATAAATGTCCACAGCAATCCAGGAAACCGTGAGGATTTCTTCCACACCACTCATAAATTGACCTCCAGTGACTGCCCCCTTTACGAGAGACGCTCACCTTGATAGACCTCCAGACAGGTCTAATAGCGCTCCAAATATTTCAGTTTTACACCTCGGTGTTATGATCCTTTTCCAGGTTCGTTAAAGATCCATGCTCACAACCCCCATTGATAAAGGCAGAAATACCATCCACCCATAGCGTAAAACTTTGTTATTATAATCCTACTCACATGTGTAGTTGATAAAACAATCCCACAAATATAGAAAATGCTTCTAATGAAGTCGGGAAGTGAGGCAATGCATAAGGTGGAGCTAGCAGGCACGGATCCGATCACAGACAGAGCTGTGTGACTAGAGCAGCACTAATTCTAATTTGACTTGAGATCTCAACATTGGCAGTTGATATCGAGACCACAGTGTTTTCTATATTTGTGGGACTTTTATAAACTACACGTACGGAAGTCTTTTTGTTAGATATTTGGTGTCTGCGGCTGATTGTACATATTGGCACAAAATGAATGATATACATTTGTAAGAGAGGATTTGCCTATTTTGGAGATATTTATTCTCCATTCCTTTTTTCATTAAGACGGGAAGTAGAGAAAAATCTGTATTTTTCACTTTTGCAGTCGAATTTGCACAGCATGCAGAAATGTTTTTTTTTAAATGTGTCTTGCCTTTTTAGATGTTTTGTTTCAGCAGGCGACATGGCTGATTCCATGTTTTTCTTTCAGCACCTTCACAGTGACCTATCCTTTTATAGAATGACTTAGGACTGAAATCTGAGGAATTATATAGTGGAAAGCAGGGACGTGCGGGGATGCAGGTGAGGCAGAGCCTCACCTAGAATTATGGAGGAAAAAGCTGTCTGCTTCATGTCTGAAGCTGACAGCTTTTTCTCCATTCAGATTGGCATCTAACAGGTTACAAAGCAGGGAAATCATCCCCGCTGTGTAACCTGTCACCTCAGCAATGAGGAGCAAGTGAGGGACAGGGAGGCTCCTCACTGTTTCCTCCTTTTACACTGGGTTGGGGGTGGGGCTTTGGCCGACAGAAGGCGGGGCTTTGGCTGACGGGGGCGGGGCTGCAGAATGCCTCACCTGGACAAGAGGTACCGCACGTCACTGGTGGAAAGGCACCTCATAGCCCTTCTAACCTTAAAAACGAAAGCAAGTAAAATCAGTTTAAACTGCAAGAAGCTTTTTTAAATCATTTTAGCTTATGCTATGTGAATTGGAACATGTAACAAATATAAAATAGGTGTTCCCAATTTGGCTGCAAAAGTGGAAATACACTTTCAGGGTATTTAACCCTTCCTTCTGGCTAAAAAATAAATAAATAGCTTTAGATTATACGTAATCTCTTTAGAGTGAACCCTTACCCCCTTTCACTAAAAATCAGATCAGCATACAGCTCTGCATGCTCATAAAAAATCTTACGTTCATTAGGTAAACATTTTTCCTTTTACTTACAATTTTCTTGTTTTCTACTTCCTGTCTCTCTTTGACACAGACTATGTAATTATGCCCACACATTGCATCCTGGGAAGGTTACATCAGCAGAGCATTGCTGTTAAATCTTATCTGTAATCTCACGGGATCTCTGGGAAAGGCATTTTCCTCCCCGGAGATGTGCATGGTTACACGTGCCTTAGTTCCAGGAAGTAAAGGGAGGCCTAGTAACCTGCCCTTAGTTAAAATGGCCACTGTCAGAATAATGGGGAAGAAAAGAAAAACGAGGTATGCAAATAATAAAAAGCCGGATCGTGTGAGGCTATGACATTTGCAGTCCCAATGTGAATATTCACTAGCAGACTTCCCACTATGCTCACAGTGCCACTGCCGGCCACCCAGAGTTGGGTTCCTAAAACAGGCAGCAAGGACTCATTCACCAGGATTGAGTTTTGAGTTTTATTCTGTATGCAAGCATGCAGTTATAGAACACATCTTTCCATGTCTCTAAATGCCATGGAAAAGATTTGAGTTGCTCTTTACTGTATCATGGCGTCTTATTTCATCTTTGCAAAGTTTTATTACCCTTTTCAAGTGTCTGTACTGCCAATGTAAAATGTCATAAAGAGGATTTTGTGGGTCAGTAGTATGTTAGTCCTAGTTTGTCGTATGCCCTTGTAGATAAGCGGATTTGGAAAGCTTCCCACAAACTTGGAAAGTGTAGATGTTGCCACAACAAACCGATGTGTGAAATCCTCTGAGATTGGGTGGAGGTAGATCAGAGGAAATGGGAACGCTGAGCACTGAAGATACGAAGAAGAAAATTATAAGATCTGTGCAGTGTTAACTTTAAAAATAGCTCTTGTCAAGTGCCTATAACGTGTGCGCCATAGTGTGGAGTAGCAGGATTTTATGAAAAATGAACTCATTACACATTGTTACACATAAGTCAGCATGATCAGGGTTAGTTCTTTTAGTTTTCCTTTTTTGTTGTTGTTTTATACAAATATTTTTCATTGCAGGTGTCACTTTTCTGGGATGCATGTACACATACAGGTGAAACTCGAAAAATTAGAATATCGTGCAAAAGTTCATTTATTTCACTAATGCAACTTAGCCGTATACCAGGAGATTTTGGAGCACTTCATGCTTTCTTCCGCAGACTAGCTCTATGGGGATGCTGACTTCATTTTCCAGCAGGACTTGGCACCTGCCCACACTGCCAAAACATTTCTGAGATTGTGGATCTGGGTTTTCATGAGCTGTAAGCCATAATCATCACAATTATGACAAATCACGGCTTGAACTATCTTGCTTTGCATGTAATGAGTCTAGCTCATATATTTCACCTTTTAAGTTGCATTAGTGAAATAAATGAACTTTTGCACGATATTCTAATTTTTCGAGTTTCACCTGTATATTCGTTTTGAGGCCCAATGGGCATCCCTTGACTTTTACCTCCCATGTTTTCTACAAGATAGCAATGCAAGCAGCATTATCCATAGACCTTACCATAATGTCAGTCCAGCCCCCCTCCCAGACAGATCATTTTGCTCACAAGTATATTGTGCTGCATGATTTGGTATACTCCACAGACTGGTGAACAAACAGGTTTTCTTTAATACATTGAATGTTGTGTCTAATAATCCAGTGACCCCAGACTTGATTGTAGTATTAAAGAGGAGCTGGGGTGTCAATTCTCATTCAAAAGTTCAAGTGCACCAGATTTTTGAAAGTAAGCTTACTAGTTCTGGTAAGGCAATTCCAATAGTCCAAAAAGGTCTCCTCCTTGGCGGGTCGTCTTAATTAAACGTTTTTTTTCCTGCTCGTGCGTGCCCCCGGGCAGAAAAGAAGTTGAATGGAAACAGCCGTTACTGTGTCACATACAAGTGATCACTGCCTCTATACGCATCCTATCCCCCCTCCCCGCAGTACCACTGTCCCTCCTGTACCTTCACCCCCCCCCTGCACCCTCACCTTCAATTCCGGGCTCCGCTGGCCCATCTGTGGCCCAGGACTGACTCGGGTGGGTGTCAGGAGGAAGATGGGAGGGAGATCAGCATCTTCCTCTTTGCTCATCTCCGACGTCTGAATGCGGAAGTGATGTGTATTCCGCATTCAGCTGTCATTCCTCTGGCTGCTATAGCCAGAGAAGAAGCTGGTGAAGCAGATCTCTGAGACCCCTAATGTCTCTTTGTTCACCCCCTTTGTGATAGCAATAACATTAAGTGTAAAAAGAAATTAAAAAAAAGGCACATATAAAGAAATGTAAAAAAAACAACCCCAAAAGTTTTTAAGTACCCCACGTATACGCATATATAAACGTAAATATGCATCGGGTGGGCCAATGCTCAAACGACAATTGTGCTACACATGTTACATATCGCCGTGAATAACCTTGTCTGCAAAGGGTACTGAAATAATGATCTTGACCAGCACACCTTGGTATAGTGATAGTCCTGTCCTTTATCTACATAAAGCAACAGTCATCACAAGCCAACAATTTGAGACCTAACAAGATTCCTTTGTCAAGGCAGACTGATGTCCCAAAATGTCCGCTTTTGCT